AACAAAGGCGATATGATCTCATCATACCAGGCTAATAGCGGTTGTCCCCAGGAGGAGGAGGTAAAGTCTCCCCTGAAATTGTTTCAAGGGTTTAGGTTTTTCAGACAGTTTATCATCTCAAAATCGAGGAATGAGAATTTATCCTTCCAACTACATGGTAATAACGAATTATTTGTGAAGTATGGAGCAGTTGTGTTAGTTACCTCAATGAGATGAAGATTGGAGGCACGACTAAGGAGAACAAAGGCAAATTCCCCAATCTGAGCCAGAGACATTCCAACCTGCACGATTGTGAATTAAACTAGACATGATGAAACATGTGAAATGCAGGGGAAGAAAAGCAACATGATCTCTGGCAATTGAAACAAAATCTTACCAGCAGGGCCGTCTTGTTATTGTATCCAAACCCCTTAACAACTGTTGTAACTATAGTGGTCTTTATGATAACAACTAATATAACAGAGGCTAACAATATGTCGACATGATTCCAGAGAAAATGCACATTAATCAACATCCCGATGCTCGCAAGGAAAAGAGCAGCAAATAAGTTGCGAATGGGTTCAATCTGCAGCAATAAGGACGAATCTGAATCAGATTACGGACAAGCCAAACAGGTGAGGGCAGAATGAACATTGCTTATCTTCAATATAAAATATTCAGTTGTCTCTAATTACACTTGAATATAATGACTAGCTTCTAGCTTCGGGTATGGTAGTCGGAATCTTGTGAAATACTTCCCGGTGATATGTATATTCAACCTACTATATTATGAATATGCCCTACTTCTCTTTCATGTTTGGAAAACATTTAGAATGGTTTGCAAATGAGAAAAAGAAACTCAAGTCATTTGAAAATTTCCTGCCTCTGTCAATACTCACAGGAATTACAGCCTTCGGCTGATATGCCCAAAAAACTTACTTGCTCCAATGTGTGTTGAGCGAGATCCGTAGTTGATATCATAACTCCGGCAGCGAAAGAACCCAGTTCAAGGCTTAAGCCCAACTTATCACTACACTGAAAGCATACAAGAGGAGTCAGAAGAAACATACCGTCCTGGCTGGGAAAGTTAACAAATCTTACATCCTTGTATGTCTCCATGCTCCCATTTTAACTTGTGGTTTTATAAGTAATTTTCCTTCATGCCTATATCTTTGGTAAAGGCTTTATTGGATGTCTCTTATTGTGATTTTATTGGATGAAATTTCAGAGTGCTTGAAGAAAACGAACTCTCTGGCACTATTCCAGACGAGCTGGGAAACCTGATCAACCTAGAACACTTGTACCACCTCCCCATCTTGATCACCTTTAAAACGCAAGAACGATAAGAAGAGAATTGATTTTCCATCTTTTCATCTTCAATTTGTAGGAAACTTGCATCCAATCGATTGACCGGAAGCTTGCCAAGCAGTCTTTCAAGACTAGTCAAGCTACGAGATTTGTAAGTCATGACACTAGTTTCTTTCATCCCAAGCAGTTGGGTCTTTACTTAAACTCTTTCTGGCATGCAAGTTCTTCTCTGTCTCAGATTTTCTTAGCTAAAAAAGAAAATCGAAATGAAGTTGCTGCTGTGGTTCTGCATATTGTGCTGATGTTGCACTGTGGTTCAGTACATTTATGGGTTTTGTGTCATTTGTTCTTTTCACTTACTCGTTGTATTACTAAATGTTTTGCTCTACAGTTTCATTAGTGACAATAACTTAAGCGGCAACATTCCCGATCTTATTGGAAACTGGTTTCAGATTAGCAGGCTGTAAGTGCATCGGTAATCAACATCTTGTAATTTCTGCTTATAGTTAGGGTTTCCAGAATTCCAGTTTATTAACTCATGTTGATATGAACAGATATCTATTTGCAAGTGGGCTGAGAGGGCCTATTCCTGATTCACTGTCGCGTCTAGAAAATCTTAAGGAGCTGTAAGTGAATTGCCTTCAATACTAAACAATTATAAATAAAAGTTATTATGGATATATTTTAAAAAATAAAAAATTGTAAAATTTAATGATCAAATATAAATATTTTTTATAATATATTTTTTTAATTAATTTTATTATATATTTATTATAATTATTGCCCCCACTCATAATTTTTTCTGGATCCGCCACTGGTCAGAAGAACATGCAGATCAAATGGTTTCCAAACGGGTGAGAAGAGAAGATCACAACCTGAACATTATAAGAAGGATAAACAAAAATCATGTGGGGAGAAAGAAGGATAAGAAAAGTTTACCCAGGCTACAAGTAAGCGAAATGCAACAGAGGCCAACTGATAGAGTTCGTCCGTCTGTGCAAAGATAAAAAAATAAAAACGATCAGAACCTTGGCGGTTTGACCATAAGATAGGAAAGAAGAACATTATCACTGGGACAAATTGTGCACCTGTGATGATAAGCTGACCATTAACTTCAGTAACCAAGGAACACATGTCCGTGATAAAATGGACAAAACAGCCAAAAAAGCAAGCAACATGACCACCCTGAGTAAAATCAGCATGACTCAAAAAAAAAAAGAGATTCTTTTCAAATACATGTTGATGGAATATTCTGAGGTCTTTTGCTTACAGTTTTGCCATTGATACCACTCCCTGTAGAATGCCAGAATTTCCACCAAGAACAGGAAGCAATGCAAATAACAAACCCACAGCACAATCCTAGAAAGAAGTATAGAACTAATTGAATAAGGACCATAACAGAAATAACTGGTTGACTACTATACAACTAAAATATGGGCTGGGGACAATCGAGAACATATGACGATGAGAATGCTAAAAGGTACCTGAAGGATAAGGGTACCGATCGTAACTTGTCCGTGAAGAGAATTTGTGGAGTTCTTTTCCATGAGAAACTTCAGCACCTAGAGTTTCCAAGCAAGAAATAGAGAAGCATGATGATCATGAAATCAATGACTACACCAGGAGGAGGTGTTAATGAATAACATGAACATTACCACCGCTGTTGATGACATCGACAAAAATGCTCCAACAAATACACCTTCTGAGTGTTTACCACCGCACAACTGCAGAAAGAACCGATCAGAAACATGTGACAATGACTGATTTCATAACAGGAAATCTGGGGTGTTGTTTTGGTGCGTCTGACTTGGATTTTACAAGTCTCTCAGTTCCCATGATAGCGTACCAGAGAATGCATAGATTATTATTTCATATAGGATAACAAAAGGATCATGCTGCACAGATCAAAATGGAAAAAGATAGGATTGCTGATAATTTTTTTATTTACCGACATCGTAGTACCGCACAGGAACATAAAGAGAAGAATTTGAAGAAGGCCCCCTAGAACAGCAACTGTTCGGACAACTCGAAGCTGCATAATAAGAGGACAGACACTCTGCAGTTTGCTATGGTAATGCTAAACAAATATGAGACTATGAGCTCACCTTTGCAGTGGAAAACTCTAGACCCAGCGCAAAAAGCAGAAATATGACACCGAACTGAGCTACAGTTTCAACCTACATGGAAAAATACTTGCAAAAATGAAAGCATGAACACCCATGTAAGATCAGATAACAGGAGCATGTTCTCATCTCTTGTTGAGGTTCTACAGCTCTAAATGTATACGAGTTCAACCTTTTTCAATACCATAGAATGAATGAGCTCCTTATACCAATGTACCCAAAAACAGCCCATTTGTTAGATAAATGCAGCATCTCCATTATTTGAGATCAGAGAGTGGCGTCACCACCAAAAGCCCGGACAATGAGACTGGCACATTCATATCTTATGATTAAAACACAGCATACCTGGACCATCTCACTGATAAAGTTCAATCCACCAGGCCCAACGATAGATCCTGCTAGCAAATATCCAGTTATGACCTGAATAAGTTGAGAATGATTCATCAGCCATCATAAGACTGAGACATACATCTGAAACCTATATTCTTCATGATCAAAACTAATACGGTAGCAAGAGAAGCAGACCGGCTGCCCAGCACAAGGGAAAGCAATGCCACCACAAGTTGCAGATACAATGACAACAACCAAATCTGATATCAATCTACATGGCAGAGAAAGCACAAGTCAGATACTTCGAGAGTCAGCTATCAAACAATAACGTTCCCAACAAATACATAAATTAAAATTCTTGCCTCAAATCTAACTGCAAAATTGGGTACTTTGACTTGAAATTGGATATGATGAAGACATTGTCCTGAAGAACAAAAATACGGCTTATGACAACTAAAATACAAGGCCAAGCACTGCATTGCAAGGAGGCTCACTTTTCGGTCTATCAGGGTCGGAGTGTCCTCAGCTCTGTTATCATTATCTAGATAGAAGACTTCCTGGAATTTAAATGGTCTATAGAAAATACAACATTTATTAGATCTTTGTCCCCAAAAAAAGGCAAAACCCGTGTTACAAAGTTAAAAGCGACAAGAACTTATTTACTTTTCCTCTTTCGTCTCATTTTTCTTTGACTTTACCCTGGCTACTGTTTCAAGAACAGCCTGATCAACACGACAATCAAACCCCATATTCAGATACTCATACTAAACAACCAACAAGGGGAACGATCAAATCTAAATCAATCTTTTACTGTAACGCAGACATAGAATGAGAAAATAGCGGCGAAATATGCCCAAATATTCGATAGAGAAGTACTGTATATTGATTTATTGCTACCAGATAAATGAGGAAAATCAAAGAAAGAGGACCCATAACAGTAATGCAGCTACATATCACCCCCAAACAATAACCAGACCACACAATTCTATGAAAAGGAAGTAGCTTTTTTGTCAACTTAATTATATACATATGATCATATATTCCTTCTACGGATGCATTAAAACCAACCTGCTGACCCGCTACACTGTTGTTAAAGCTTCCAGGATCAGCTGCTGCCACCAATAATCACAAAACTATGATAAGAACGGAGAATCTTTTCAAATGGGTATGAAACACGAGAGATACGAACTATGATTTTTTTTTTTTTGGGAAAACAGTCAGAAGATAAATGTCGTTAAGTAATCAAGCTCGATCTAGAAGATGCACACAATTCCACTTCGGGAGATTGCAGAATGCTATAAAACTTCGACTTAGCTACATATTGAAACACAAGTGTCAGGTTTTCGCCTCTAGAAACCAACCTGAAATCCGAATCATGAATGGATTACGGAACCAATCTACGACCTAACTCCTGAACTGTTCAACGAATGAACCAATTCGACAGAAACAGGAGAAAATAGTAGAAGATTAAAAATAACACTGAAACAGAAATTGCGGGAAATCCCCAACGATGTACAATAGTTAAGCCATTGAATCAGACTCCAACATTTCAGTTTCAATGACCATTCCATCTTTGAAAACAAGCAACACGAGTAATTCAAAAACCCTAATCCTCAAAATGCAAAAAGAGACGGTACCTTCACTCTGGTCAGTCTCGTTGAACTCCTTCTCGAGAGCGCGATCGATGATATCGGCGAAGCTGCCCTCCTTGGGCTTAGAAAGAGAAGCGTTGAGAGACGCTGCGGAGGAGTTGATGGCGGTTACGCCGAGCAGATCCGAGCCGGAGAGACTGCGAGGAGAGACGACGGAGGAAGAGAGGAAGACAGAGAAGAGGAGGAGAGCGAGCTCAGGGGAGAGACAGGTGATAGTAAACAGAGTTTGCTGAATATTGATCTTGCATTCTCATTCATGAGTATACGAATATATACATGGTACTGTTGCTACATTTAGGGAAACAGAATATTTGGGAAATCATATACAATCTCAATAAGATTGAGCGGAGCAGAGTTAGCTCCTATAATGTAGTTGCCTATCATGCCCCCGCAAGATCGGTGTCGGTTGCGAGGCCGATCTTGAGCCGTAAGATATTGAACCGAGTCCGCGGTAGTGGCTTTGTAAGCAAGTCTGCGAGCTGATCTGTTGAGGATAAGTGTGTTACACGGAGCCGTTGTGCCTGAACTAACCCACGGATGTAGTGATAATGAATGACAATATGTTTCATTCGAGAATGAAACACTGGATTGGCGGCAAGATAAGTGGCTCCAATGTTATCACAGTATATGACAGGTGTGTCTGGAACAGTTGCCCCGAGCTCAGAGAGAAGAGATATCAGCCACTGTAATTCCGAAGCTGTCGATGAGACTGATTTGTATTCTGCTTCCGTTGAAGACTTTGCAGCAAATCTCTGCTTTTTCGAGGACCAAGAGATGGGATTCCTGCCAAGGTAAGCAATGTATGCCCCCGTTGAGCCAAAATCGTCTTTGTCGCCGCCCCAATCAGCATCAGAGAAGGCGTGTAAGGACAGTGAGGAGGCGGAAGAGAGGAAAACGCCGACTGTCCGAGAGCCATTGATGTATCGTAGAATTCTCTTGACAGCTTGCCAATGGTCAGATGTTGGCTTGTGCATATATTGCGAGAGCTTGTTTACAGCGAAGGCAAGATCAGGTCTCGTGAATAACAGATATTGTAGACTTCCAATAATTTGACGAAATTCAGTTGGATCAGCAAGTTTCGTGCCGGAATTGGCTGACAGAACTGTGGTGGAGGCCATGGGAGTCGGTGCAGGTTTTGCGGCAGCCATGTTATACCGAGTGAGAAGATCAGTAATGTAGCGTTGCTGTGTGAGATGGATACCTTGCTTTGTCCTTGCACTTCTATGCCGAGAAAGAAGGAGAGCTGGCCCAAATCTTTAAGCGAAAAACGAGCTGCAAGAGTGTTAACAAACTTCTGTACCTCGGCTTGGTTGCTGCCTGTGATAATTATGTCGTCAACGTAAACCAATAGGTAGATAATGGCAGATGCAGAGTTGAGGATAAATAGCGATGTGTCTGACAGAGAATTTGTGAAGCCTAGCTGCAGCAAATACTGACATAGTTCGTTGTACCAGGCCCTGGGCGCTTGTTTGAGTCCATAGATCGCTTTATGGAGCTTACAAACAGCTGTTGGTTGATCCTTGTCTCGGAATCCTGGTGGTTGTTCCATGTAGACCGCCTCTTGAAGTGATCCTTGGAGAAAAGCATTGTTTACATCCAATTGCCTTAGATCCCATCCACGAGAAGCAGCGAGACTGAGAATTACGCGAACTGTAGCTGGTTTTATGACGGGGCTGAATGTTTCTGTATAGTCGACACCCGGTCTTTGATGGAATCCTTTAGCGACAAGTCTTGCTTTATACCTGTCAACAGAGCCATTTGGTAAACGTTTAGTCCGGAATACCCATTTGCAGCCAACAACGTTATATGAGGAATCCGGGGACACCAACGACCATGTCCCGTTTCTGATCAAGGCATTGAATTCTTCTGACATAGCCTCTCGCCATTGTGGATGTTTGAGAGCCTGAGACACACATGTTGGTTCAATGTCGGCAGGTGTGGTGAGAGTTGAGGTTAATGTGAGTTTGGTGTTTGGTTTGGATATACGATTTTTGGATCTTGTGGTCATAGGATGTTGGTTTCGGATGGTGGTCTGGGTGTTGGTTTCTGAGGTCTGGGCAGATTCGATGGGAGGAGAGATTAAAGGCTGTGGAAGAGGTGGAACAGGGCCAGAAGATTGTAGAGGTTGGTCGACTGCGGTGATTTGTTGTGTTGAAGTAGATGGTGCTGTAGCTGTCGGCAGTGAGGGACTTTGACAGGGGTGCAGAACTGCAGCTGGTGCCGGCATTGTGTACGAGGGCCTGATAGGGATGAGGGTTGACAGTGAAAGTGATGGGTTGGACACAGACTCTGAAGAAGACAATGTAGATGTTGGTGAGAGTAACCGAGGAAATGGGAAAGAGGACTCAACAAATTCTACATGGCGAGACACATAGATTCTTTGGGAAGGCAAGTGAAGACACAAGAAGGCGCTTTGTGTGAGTGAATAACCGACGAAAACACAGGGTTGAGATCTAGGTTGTAATTTATGCTGTGAATATGGACGCAGGTAGGGAAAACAAAGGCAGCCAAAGACTCTGAGTTTAGTATAGTGTGGCTGTGACTGGAACAGACATTCAAATGGTGATGTCATGTTCAGGACAGGGGTTGGAAGCCTATTAATAAGATATACAGCTGCAAAAAATGCTAGAGACCAATAGGAGGTAGGTATGGAAGCTTGGGTAAGCAGAGTAAGTCCAGTTTCTACAATGTGGCGGTGCTTACGCTCGGAGATGCCATTGTGCTCCGGCGTGTGGGGAGGAGTTGTGTAATGGCTGATACCATGAGTGGAAAGGAAAGGTCGAAGAGCTGTATACTCTCCGCCATTATCCGAGTATAAAGACACAATGCGAGTTTGAAATCTGTTCTCAACTAGAGGTTTGTAGCTTGTAAAGGTTTTGAGAACATCAGATTTGTGTTTTAGTGGGAATAACCAGGTGTATCTTGTAAAGTGGTCAATGAAAATCACATAATATCTGTAGCCATCGAATGAAGGGACAGGGGATGTCCAGACATCCGAGAACAGAGCCTCTAATGGTCGGGATGATGTAACAGACGAAACAGAAAAGGGAAGACGATGACTTTTATTAATGCAGCATGGTTGACAAGAGAACAATCGACTCGACGAAGATGACAAAGGTAGAGAGAATGTGGAAATAACTCTAGATAAAACCTCGGGTGATGGGTGACCGAGTCTGGAATGCCATTCCGAGGCAGTGGTTTTGACAGTGGAGGAGACAAGACACAAAGGTTTGGTTGGAACAGAGGATAGTGACGATGCAGGCCATTCGTACATGCCATTTTTAAGCTTGCATGTTGCGAGTTTTGCCCCCGTCATTAGATCCTTCACCTGAAAGTATTGAGAGAAGAATTCAACAGAGACTTTGTTAGATTCACAAAGCTGATGAATTGAAATAAGATTTTTCTGGATTGTGGGAACAAAGAGAACTTGATTCAGAGATATAGGTCGAGTAGCAGTAGGTAAGAGCATTGAACCAGTGTGCGTGATCTCAAGGCCAGAACCATCTCCAATGACGACCTCATCATTACCAGAGTATGGTGAATGATAGGAGAGGTTGGCGAGGTCAGTGGTAATATGATGCGAGGCGCCAGAATCTAGTAGCCAAGGTTGAGAGTTGGTGGTAGACAATGCAGCCTGATTCACCGTAGGCTGCCAGTGAGAACTGCCTGAAGGTGAGGGGTGACTGGGCCAATTCTGTCCTTGTCGAAGAAGTCGACAATATTTTGCGCTGTGACCTTGTGTACCACATAGCTGACACCTTCCCTGATAGCCACGACCTTGATGGTTTGGAGGTCGAGCAGAGCGCTGATCAGAGGGTGGTCTGAAGTTGTTGTTGTTGTTCCGCCAGGGAACTCTGGGTTTTTGCTGGGTAGCATTAGCAGTAACGGGGGATTCTACAGTCGCTAATGGTTGAGACAGGAGATCCACTTCATGACTTAGCAGCTTCTCATGTAGTTCAATGAAAGATATGGGTGTATCTTTCGCCTGAACAATGTCCTTCACAGATTTGTAGTTGTCGTCGAGGCCAGCAAGAATGAGATCTAAGAGATCTTCATGATCCATTGGTTTGCCCAAAAGAGCAAGTTCATCAGACTTAACTTTGAAGAATTGCATATAGTCATTGATCGACTTTTGTCCTTTGGCGAATCTCCTCATCTGATCCTTTATCTGTTTCAGGTGACCTCTACTGCTTCTCCCATACGTATTGGCAAGGCTCGTCCAAGTGGCAGCAGAGGACGGAGCAGAGGCTACTAAGGCTTGGCATGAGCTGGATATAGAGCCTAAAAGTGCTGAGAAAATCAGTCTGTCCTGTCGAAACCAGATCTGATATTCAGGATTTGGAGTCGCCACATTGTTGTTGACAATAGTTGGGTTCGGAACTTGAGCAGGGTCAAGAAAACGTTCCAGGTTGTAGCCTTGTAGCAATGCTTTGAGTTGGACACTCCAGGTAATGTAATTTGCCGCCGTGAGTTTGGTCACATTGGATACATTGACGTTGATTAACGTCGAACCAGGATTTGCTGGGTCATATGCGGTGACCGTATCACTAGGAAGCCCAGAAGGAGTGGAGGTATCACTGGTTACAGGATTTTGGTTCTCTGGGGCACTACAAAAAAAATGGTCATTTCCAACGGGTAAATCCGTTGGAAATAACCAAATTTCCGTTGGAAATTAACGTTTCCAACGGATTTCCAACGGATAAATCCGTTGGAATTTCGTCGTTAGAAAACGGTGTCCGTTGGAAAACCGTTGGAATTTTCAACGGAATTTCAACGAATTTTTCCGTTGGAATTTTCCAACGGATTTCCAACCGCAATCCGTTGGAATTTTCCAACGGATTTCCAACGGATTTATCGGTTGGAATTTTCCAACCGAATTTCCAACCGATATCCGTTGGAATTTTCCAACGGAATTTCCAACCGCAATCCGTTGGAACGTTCCAACAAAAAATTCAAAATATATTCTCGATCCCGACCCCGGCCCCGACATCTATCCCGATACCGATCCCGATCCCGATCCCGACCCCCGGCACCGATCCCGATCCTCCAGCCCCGACCCCGATCCCCCGGCCCAACTCCGACCCCGA